TGATTGCAAAATAATAATATGCCTTTTGGTGGATGGTTCTAAAAGTCATTTCCAAGGAGGAGCTTCAAATATGCTTTTATAAAGAATAGCAGCTTTGAAGCAATGTGTGGTCTTGCAGAGCAAATGCACTGAAGGTACCTACCTCCTCCCCCACATTTGCTATCCACAACTGTCTGCCCCTCCAGCCTGAATCTCTACCTTTAAAATGATCCCACCATCTGTGAGATGTGAAATGGGGGTGTTGGTTTAAAATCAGTACTAAACCGATTAAAGTCTTATTGGCTGAGATCAAATAACATAAAGCAAATAGCTAAATTCATTAGCTCTTCTAGAATTGCCTCCTGTCCTTTTCCCCTCCTTCTATGCTCCAAGCTTCAAAAAAGAAAAATCTAGATAATGGTGCTTTTTAAAGAAGAGGAAAGAAATAGAGTGTTGTTGATTACATGTCCATGGGGATCCACATCACCATTTCTATACCCTCTACCTCAGTCAGAGTAAAATAATCTAGAGAGAAGTATCCTTGTGTCTTTCAAGGTGGTGGGCAGAGTTTAGAAAACACTACCATTCCCACATCTTGAGTAGAAGTAACCGTGATTTCTGCGCAGCTACGTGGCCATCAGATAACAATGGTTGAGAGGACTTGGGTCTATTAAGAAAAGAGCCAAGTTTCAGTTAGCTTCCCAGGCAGTCTAGAAGGCAATTGTTTTTTATTTATTCCACTTACTGTGCAGTGTGAATTCTTACCTTTACATAAGTAATGTTATTGTCTCTAGTCAATAAACATGATGAGCAAATCCAACCCTAACAAACAGAAAGGTTTTAATACCTACCCATGTAATTGTGGCAGACGCTGTGGTTGAGGCTTTTGGTCTTAAGATGTGAGCAAATTGCAGTTGAGGTTTAAGGATACTATTTATTATGGAAGCCAAGGCTGTTTCTGTGGAAAGAGATCACATGCAAACTCACCAGTGCTACTCAACCATGGAGTGGAGCTAGGACAGGTCTTCTGCTAAGGCCACCCTCCCTGGGGCAGGACTTTAAAGGTATTAGGAGGCCTCCCTCCTTCCCAAACCATCTTCCCTGATGGCCAGGTCCTGGTGCCTGAAATTCTCACCAGGAAAAGTGGAAAACGTACTCTTTTAGAATTGCAAAGTAACATATTGAGTCACTTGTAGATTAAGTATATTTTAATGTGTCTAATTAGCAAGGAGAGGCCAGGAGTAGTATCGTTGGTTGCACACAGAGCAAGAAGACTGATATTATGCCAAAGAGGGATCCCAGGGGTGAATTAGAAAAGCAGAAACTCTGTCCAATATCAACCCCAGCCCATGGTGCTGGGCCAGCCCATTAGAACATGAGATACAGCTTCCACAAGCTGTTCCATAAAGGCAACTGTGGCCAACTGGGCAATCCTCCAGCCTCACTACATTTTCTGGTGGAAATCCAGGAACTAAGCCAACAGGCTTGGCTCTGGTCAACAGGGCTTCTGATGAGGGACAAGCAGGAGAGACCTAGAGAATCACCCATGTCAGCTGTAAGCCAGACTGAGCAAAGACAGCTACAGACACCTCCAATCGGGATTCAGGGGCTAGTTCCACAAACTCTCCCCCAAGCTGTCGTTGCTTCTCTTACTCTCCATCCTGGTTTCCCAGTGGGAATGGAGCTTGGGCTCTTCAGGGACCAAGCCAAGTCAGAAAAACACAAAGTCCATCCGTGCTATGTTTTCAACTCTACCCAGTCTAGAAGACAGGAGAACATAAAACAATCCAGGACAATGTAATTTAATTGTGCTGGACTTCCTGGGCAAGCTGGATTGGCCGCTCAGAGAAGGAGTGAAAAGCATGTTTATGTAGACTGCTCTGTAGATCAAGGGGAACAACAGGTGATAAAACATTTTAAGCAGCACACAGAGGATAAAGTGAGCTTCATGCTTACTATGCATGTGTTATGTTGAACTTTTGCATTAAGTTCACTATCAAGTTGGTGATTTGAGACAGACTTGAAAAAAAACTGTTGCAATATGGCTTCTTTCCCTCTTTATAGTCACCAGTGATCTCCCCATTGCTGGACCCAGTAGATTTGTCTGATTCTCACTGTTGTTGCCATGGTTGCTGTTGGCCACCCCCTCATTGCAACTCTTCCCTTGGCTTCTGTGTCACTTCAGCTGCTTTTCCATGTCCCTCTCCAACTGCTCATACCCAGATGTCATCTCTATCCTCGAGTCCTGGCAAAACCAGGGCTGAACCTCGTGTCAGGGACTTTGGAGAGCCCTGGGTCAGCTCTGCCATTCCTATCAGTGGTCCCCAAGGTTCTTCTACACTCTACCTTCTTCCCCTCAGCAGCCTTAACAACTTCTACAGCTCTAATGATCACCTTTATGTAGCTCTCTGATATCTCTCTCAAATCTAGTCATTCTTTTCCAGCTCTCTCCATGGAGACCCACTGTTGTTTCATTTCCTCAGGCTCCAAAACTTCAGACCCACAGTAGGTGTTTGTGACAGTGAATTTTAGGTGTCAACTTGACTGGGCTAGGGGATGCCCAGACATTTGGAAAACATTATTCCTGCATGTGTCTGTGAAGGTGTTTCTGGAAGAGATCAGCATTTGCATCAGTAGACTGAGTAAAGAAGATCATTCTCCCCGACGTGGGTAGACACCATCCAATCTGCTGAGGGCCCAGATGGAACAAAAATGCAGAGGAAGGGGAAATTCTTTCTCTCTTACTGAGCTGGGATATCCATCTTCTCCTGCCCTCTGGCATCATTGCTCCTGGTTCTTGGGACTTCGGACTTGGGCCAGGACTTACTCCGGCTGCCCTCCTGATCCCTGGTCCTTTGGGCCTGTATTAGAACCAAGTCACCAGCTTTCCTGGGCCTTTCTCTTAAAGATAGTACATTGTGAGAGCCCTCAGCCTCCATAATCACATGAGCCAATTCCTCATCATAAAACTCTTTCTATATATCTCCTATTGGCTGTGTTTCTCTGGAGAGCCCTGACTAATCACATTTGATCAGTACTAGTTTCCTTCCTTCTCTCTCCATTGTTCCTCTACTTCTAGTCAGCTTCCATATCCTAAGTCATGCTTCTAAAATCCACAGGTCTTCTGCCCCGCCCAGCTCCTGAGATGTCAGTCCTGTTGTCACTCACTTTCTAATTGATCTTCTTTCTATTTCACCCAACCCCACCAACTTAGAGGCCCCTCACAAAGCAGCCTATACAGGGCTGCCAAATACATCCTATGGCACCTTCCTTGCAAGAACATCTCAGGAACCATTCACAGCACAGCCAGATACGGTCCTAACTACCTACCTTGCAGTTTCGTCTTCTAGCACCACATTTACCCTCCGTTCTAGGCTAGGAATTGGGCTGTTGATGTCTAAACACACCTAATGATTCGTCATCTCCTTACCAGGCAAAGTTCATGCTCAGAAAAACTTTCCCTCTTCTCAGGCCTACACACACTCATCTGTGCAAATGCATCTCAGCAAACTTTATTTCAGAATTATGCTAATATCATAGAGTAATAGCTGATTGAAGTTGAAACTGTGGGAAGTATATAAAGTTTTAATAACCTTCCCATGAATTCTCATTAGTGACATTCTTCCTTACTTATTCCACTGCCAGTATTCCATGGTACACACTAGGCTCTAATTAGGTGGTGATATTGTCTCTGTTGAAGGCCCTGCAGTCAACCTGACAGGCAGATAAAGTTTGCATGAACAGAACACTTGGGTTTTCAAAGCCCTGTGCGAGTGCTACCTCCTTCTTGGAGCCTCTTCTTACCATTCTCTTACACCTCACAGTTTTTTACTTATGCCTTTCTCGATCCACACTGATGTGTGTGGCCACCTCTTTGTCTCATCCACTCTAGACTATAAACATGCGGTGGGCCAGGACTGGGGTTCACTTATTTGTGCTTCTCAGGACCCCACACAGTACCCGGCACACACAACAGATGATCAATGGCAGTTGTGTCAATTGGATAGAATTAATTTGAATGCATAATTGAGATTATGGCATACAGACTTAAGAGCTTTAAAAATTCAGAGATGAGGCAAGTAGGGGTGCAATAAAATTGATGGGTTTTTTTGGGGGGTGCTTAATGAACATCAGCCTTTCTTAGAATTATAGGAAATGAAATGACAAGGAGGCTATGGAAGAACATTGTAGATAAGGGCAAAGAAGGGGAAAGAAGAAACTTTAAGAGAGAAAGGTAAGGAGAGAGGGTTGACTGCACTTAAAGGGTCCTTTTGGAGGACATTTCAGGTATAACAAGTGGGTAGCAAGATGAACCAGTTTGTCAAAGATAAGTTTTAGTCCAATTAAACATGATGTAAAGGTCTGGTGCCCAGTGAAATTGTCTTATGGGCAACTGAAAACCTGGAGCGTAAGCTGAGATGAGAGTCATCAGGGTAGAGGTGCTGGTTCTCCATAAACAGGGATATAGAAGGAGAAAAACAGAGGGCTGGGGATCTGGGTGTTTCCTCCATTTGGGACACAAAAGGGAAGACAGATAATCTGAGCTGTTACCAAAGGAGCTAGAGTGTGCAGGGTTATGGAAATTGATGGAGGTGCATGTCGAGGGAGGAGCAGGTATCTATTGTCAATGCAGGTGCAACAGAGAGGTTGAGAGAAGAGGTTCGCTGCTCTTGGAGCATTTTCTACAGAACCTGGTCTTCAGGCAGTTAAGGAGAAAGGGGAGCAGAAAATTCCATTCTGATGAGGGTGACCATGGGAGATAGCAGTGAGGTTTGGGGAAGATTCTCAAAATTGCCAAAGGTCCTGCAGTCAAGGCAAGATGGGCATGGCTGATGAAGGCCAGGTTTGGTTTTCTGAGTGGCCCACCCTTGGTGGGAGCCTCTCAAGAGGGCATCGCTCCCTCTTCATCAGTGTTTCTGGTGGTGCCTAATGGCTGAGCACAGTCATTCAATCCATTTTATCCTCCTAATGAAGGGGTATTTTTTTGAAACAGCCATCATGAGTAATTTACAATGCATGAATATGGATGAGAAGCACATTTACTATGCCAGAGAAATAAAGTTTATTGGGAAGTAAATGAAGTAACCTCCTTGCATTCCAGAGAATGCCAAAGAAGAAAGGAAAGCAGGAAATGCAGTAGGTACAGGAAACACCCTAAACTAATAACTGGAGCTCAGATGACAGCGAGCTGAACATTTTCACAAAGAGGCTCAACTCTCAACCCGAAGGCATGTTCCAGACATTGGAAGTTGATGATATGTGTCTTTGCTTGTTAGACCGGGAAGGTATTTCAGTGTCTAGAAGTATCACAGTTGGCATGACGTGGTTTCTTGATGTCAGCTGGGCCCCAGCAAAGGCAGAACCTGAGGACTTTTCCTGTGCTTGATCTAAATGGTTTTGTTGATGTCTTCAAAGAGGATATAAGGTTTTCAATTACAGCCACACTTTTGAGAGCAGCCGCAGGGTCCACAGGGGTTGCCACTGGCATTGGTGGTGGCACATGGGTTGCAGGGGAGCCTGGGGGATAGGGAGGATTAGAACGGATTGGGGAGTGGAGAGAGCCCTCAGGTGCACAGACTTCCTCGTGCTTAATGAGACAACCTATGAATTCCCAGTGGTTGGAGTTAGTTGGAATCAAATTTTGATTGTCACCAAATCCTTCTCTCTTTCCCGGAATACCATGCCCACAGGTGGGAAATTGTCCTTTTGAAAAATATTATTTCATGCCCTTGAACTCTCATGGAACGTCACACAATCTGCCTTACCCAACAGTTATGCTATGACGGGCCAGCGCCCTACCGCCTCTCTAGGGCTAGCCCCCAGAGGCAGGGGCTGTTCCCTTCACTTTTGTCCTTCCATGTTTGCTCAGCTATCACAGATCTCTGAGCACATAGCAGATGCTCAGTTAAAGGGTGTGGTTTGGCAAGTTGAAAATACAGCCATCGTGTGTGTGCCCACAATGTCCCACTATATATACTCTTCCGCGAAATCCTTCACCCAATACTCACTTGCAGTCCTCCCCATCCAGCAGCGCCCGGTACGTGTTGATCTCGCACTCCAGCCGGGCCCGCACGTCCAGCAGCACCTGGTACTCCTGGTTCTGCCGCTCCAGGTCGCAGCGGATCTCGGCCAGCTGGGACTCCACGTTGGTGATCATGCACTGCACCTGGGACAGCTGGGAGCTGTAGCGGGCCTCGCTCTCCGTCAGCGTGTTTTCCAGAGAGTTTCTCTGTCAGGGGGACATAAAGCGTGTCAGACAGCTGCTCCTTTAAAGGATTTCTCCATGGGGTCCCAAGAACTCACAAGATCCAACACTAAGGAGAGCCTGTGGCCCAAAGGGCATCCCCGTGACCCCACCTCCCCGGCTGCCCCCGGCTCCCCAGCAGGGCTGAGCAGCACACACCAGGTTGTGCTGGGCCTGCAGCTCGATCTCCAGGGCGTTGACCATGCGGCGCAGCTCGATGATCTCCGCCTGGCAGGACTGCAGCTGCTCCGAGCTGGACACCACCTGCTTGCTCAGCTCCTCGGTCTGAAACACGCAAGGGGAGGACGCAGGATCAGACCCTGCCTCGAGGGCCCTGGGGGGTCTGGGGTCGAGTGGCCACATGCTGAGAGACACCCACCTGCCTGGTGAACCATTCCTCCACTTCCCTGCGGTTGGTCTCCACCAGGGCCTCGTACTGGCTCCTGGTCTCGTTCAGCACCTGGTTCAGGTCCACGGTGGGGGCAGCGTCCACCTCCACGTTGAGGCGGTCTCCAATCTGGCAGCGCAGGGTGTTGACTTCCTGATGGAGAAAGGGACAAGAATGAACCCACAGCAGTGGCTCTGCTATCTTCCTGCTCTGGGAAAGTGAGCACAACCCTGCCATGAAGGCATTAAAAGTCATATCCTGCTCATTCCCGAAGATGAACACATCACGTGGAGGAGCAGTAAACTCAAATAGGAATCACAGCAGTACCTGTCCCCAAAAAGCTGAAACAGCTTCACATGTCCTAGAAGACTAAGTGCAAACCGCTCGGCATGTGCGAGTCCTCCCCCACCCCCGTCACATCCCGAGGTGCCAAATGCCCCCAGCCGTCCTCCAATGAGCCCTGCTTTGCCCCTCCTGCGCCTTTGCTCCGCCTCTTCCCTCAGACTGAAACACCCAGGACTGAGAAGCTCCTCCTGGCACCTGAGCAGAGTCCCCCGTGTCCCCTCAGGCAGGCGGGGTCATTGCTAGACCACACACGCTGGTACCTCTCACACGTGCTCACTGCACTCTGCCTCATATTGTACGCTGTGTTTACGTGGCTGTCTCTCCACACTAGACTCTGAGCTCTTTGAAGGGAGGGGCCGTGTCTTATTCTCTTTTTTTTCTCCACCTCTACCACCAAATTCGGGACCTAACAGTGACCAGCAGAGAGCAGGGCTCTGTAAATGATGTGCTTCCTCAACGAGTCCAACACCTGCCAAAGCCTCGCGCTGCCGCTTGAGAATTAGCAGGCCACCTCCCTTCTCAATACGGGTCTAGCATCATCAGCCTCTTAGCTAATTTTGTGTTCCCCAGGAAGGGGTCCCAGGCCAGGCAGCCTAACAGTTACTGCCTCCTGGCTCCCCAAGGGACCGCTTGGCTCTGGGAAGCCTGCATTTTTCACTTTCTTCTCACCTCCTCGTGGTTCTTCTTGAGGCAGAGCAGCTCCTCCCTCAGGGACTCCACCTGGGCCTCCAGGTCAGACCTGCACAGGGTCAGCTCGTCCAGGACCCTGCGCAGGCTGTTGATGTCCGACTCCACCAGCTGCCGCAGGGACAGCTCCGTCTCGTACCTGCACACACAGATGGGAGGATGAGCTAGGAAGGAAGCCCACCTTCCTCTCTAGTGTCTTGCTTGCCCTGGATCTTTTTGAACTTGCACCGATTTCTGCCTCTTCCCTTCCATATGTTTCCCTCGAGCTATGCACAGATAGGTTGGAGAAGTCCCCTGACTCACCCCAACACCCAAGCACTCATGAGATGTCTCTCACTCTGCTCTCAATTTTGCTGGTTAATATACCATTGGATCAATCTATTCCTAAAAAAGAACTAATTCCAATCTCTGAATTTAAGAAGCCCCTCCAGAAAGACCCATGTGGACTAAAGAGCAGGCCATACATGAGCGTGGATCCCTGTTTGAAACTGACGTTCCTAAGCCAGCCTTAAGAGGAGAAATCAAAAGAGAGAAATGGCTTCCTCCTCCCTTCCAGGCAGCGTTAGGCCCGTATGGCCATGGAAGAGCCATAGGGGGCTTGGTCATCTGGCCCAAAGGAGTCAACATACTTGGTTCTGAAGTCATCAGAGGCCAGCTTGGCATTGTCTACCTTCGTCACTATCCTGGCATTCTCAGATTTGGCACACAGAATCTGAAAAGAAATGTCTCTCGTGAGGTCCACTTGAACTTGAGAATGTCTTATTGATCAAAGAGAGCCAGTGGCTGCTGGGCTCCCATGGGCCCAGCCCTCACCTTCTGCTGGAGCTCCTCGATGGTCCGGAAGTAGGACTGGTAGTTGGCACACACCAAGGGGTCCTGCTCCTGGCACCGCTGCTGGATGAGGCTCTCCAGCTCCGCGTTCTCCCGCTCCAGCCGACGCACCTTCTCCAGGTAGCTGGCCAGGCGGTCGTTCAGGAACTGCATGGTCTCCTTCTCGCTGCCATTGAAGGAGCCTTCACAGAACCAGTTGCAGTTGCCCACATTGGCGGGGATGTTGCAGGCCCCGGGCAGGGTGCAGCTGTGGCAGCTGGGGGCCACGCAGGGCCGGGAGGAGCAGCTGGTGCGGCAGCTGAAGCTGGGCTGACAGCAGGTGAGAGACATGGTGCTGGGACAGGTAATGGGAGAGCAGGTGACTTCTAGACGTGGACGTAGGTGCTGTTTGAGGCTCTCCTTTCTCTATGATCCTTTTATACCCTTAATGGTGGGTGGGGGCTTGGCATACAGCATAGTTTCATTTCCTAATGCTTTAGCTAATTTTTCACCAAAATATGCTAGTTAGATGCTTCCAAAGAGTCCCCCCTCATCCCATAAAATTATTCCATTCATCTTGTGTCACACCAGGCTCTTCCTGAGTGCCAGTGGTTGGTGAAATCAGAGTTTCATCAGATAGCTTCAAAGGAGGTGGAATTATTACAGCCCCAAAGTCTCTCCCCATTACTCAGAGGGGAGGACAGCCAGGGACATGGGGTGGAGCCGTCTGGGAATCAGGAACTCCTCACCTACAAGATTCTGCCACTGTACTCCCTGGAAAGAGAGCTTTGGGGGAATACTATTCCAAGTGCCCTCTCCTCCCAAGTCTACCCATGTTTCAGTGTTCAGTTCAACTTGTCCTCACACCAGAAACTCGTCCTGTGTTAGTTGTAAGGATCCTGAGCATTGCTCTTGGTTGGGATTTAGGGAATTTGCCAACACATGGAGAGACTGAGAACAAGTGTATATTCCTGGTTGGGAAATGAGAAAGCAATATGGAAACTGAGGGGATGAAAGGGAATAGCACTAAAGTGGGAGACTTGCAAACTACAGTCCCTGGCCAAGTTTGGGCCGCTGCATTTCTTATAAATGAAGTTTTAACAGAACACAGCCATACCCATTTGTTTAGGTATTGCATGTGACTGCTTTTGCACTATACTGGCAGAGTTGAGTAGTTGCAACAGAGACTATAGGGCCTGCAAAGCCTAAAATAAAAAAGTTTGCCAACCTGCAATGTAGCAACAGTCTCTCTGAAGGTGAGAAGGAGAAGAAAGATCCAGAAGGAACATTTGCTGGGAATAGTCCAAAAGTGTGCTAGCCCAGCTGGAAGTGTTAAGCACATATACGAAGCATAATGCCTTTGACTTGCCAAGAGAGGAAAACCAAAATGAGGTGTTCAGTATCCATGGTGACCTTATTTGAAGGGCTCTCCCCACTACTCAGAGGAATTATTTTGTATCTTTGTTTGGGACATGTCTCCCTGTTTCTTCATTTTCCTTGACTCTTTGTGCCAGTATCTGTGCCTTAAACATAACAGCCACCTGTCCCATTCTTCATGGGCTGGCCTCATGCAGGAGTAGACCTCTCCGATCTGCCTTGCCAGAGACTTGGGGGCCTCTCCAGTCTTTGTGCTGGTCTAAAACACCATATTGGTTCATTGCAGCCTCCAAGCATCTTGAATATGCCCAGTTCCATTAGCATGTTGACAAAGGTGAGACAGAAGCCCATCCCTCAGGCAGTCCCCAGAAAATTCAGAATATGGACACACAGTCCAACTCATTCTCTCCCCAGGAGGAACCTGGGATCTAGAGTTTTTTACTGCCTCACTGTATTGGGCTGGGGAAGGAGGTGTGGTGGGAGTGTCATTGTGCTAGTTCAAATCACCATCCTTGTTCTCAGTGGCTCCTGTGTCTAGTGTTTGCTGGCTCCCATCCGCACTCTACGATAGGCAAGTTAGAAGCTAGTGCCTTGGCATCCCCCAGAAAAATCTGAATGTTGGACATATGGTCTAGTCATTTTCTTCCCTCCCACAGAGGAGCTGGGAGCTTGGGGTTTCCTCCTGATCATATGACATGAGACTGGGAGGTATGGATTATCCTGAGAGGGTGTCTAAAGTCTTTCTACTGGCTCTGATTGGCTGCTTTGGCACTCACTCAGGTACAAGAACCTCTCAGGTAGCTACTGAATTTCTCACAAAGGCACTCAATCTGCATATGCTTGTTGAACCAGTGTGTCCATGGGATCTTCTGATTCTATCATCTTGCTGATGTCACTCCCAACAAAACCACACATTTGAAGTTAAATGACTTGGATTTACATCCTTACCCACGAGATCAGCTCAGAGAAGTCAATTTCCTTTTTTTCAGTCTTGTTTTTCTCATCTCTTAAGTTGAAATCATAATAATGCTGCCTACCTCATAGTTTTTTGTGTTCAAGTTGAGTAATAGACTGTGTGTGAACATGGTTATGCAAGGGAGTGATGATGACTATTTCTGTAAACTTTATCCTTCCTACTGTTGGCCCTGATTACCCAGATGAAGTATTTTGTGAAAATTTGACTTTGTTAAGTAGATACCTGGGCACATTGCCCATGCTAACCCGGTGGTGAGCAAACCTCACTCACACACCTTGTAAGCACTAGAGACACAGAACCCTACTCATAAATCAGTCAACAAAAATGCAGATTTTCACATTAACTTAGTGACTGGAATAGGAAGTTGGTTGACGACCATTGTCCCCTACCTTCTCTGTTAAGTGCCTAATCTTGTCAGGTTGGTTATTTGGGGTGGTTCTTGAGGAGGACCATGGAATTGTATTATCACCAAAGCCTCCTTTCTGGTCTGGCATTGAAACAGGCCCTACTCATCCTCTGGGAATCTTCCAGCCTGACTGTTCTGGGCAAGCATCTATAATAATGATGATGATGGCAGTGTTGTTATTGTTGTTGGTGATGATGATGGTGATGATTGTACCATTTCATGAATACTTACCAGGTGCCAAACTAGGTGCTAAGCACTTTGGCACATTTCTCACTTTATCCTCCCAACAGCCCTATAAGTTTGGCCTATTATTTCCATTGTACAGATTGAGAAACAAATTGCAAAAGGCTCAAAATTTGCCCAAGATATAGCCAATAAGGGATGGAGCAGAGATTTGAGCAACTAAAGTGTCTGACTCCAATCTGTGTTATATTTAACACAAAGACTTCTCTAGTTTTGTGAGGGAAAGGAAATCTTAGATTCATTGCTTCCCATTGCCCCTTGCTTTGTAGTTTTTCTTTCTGGTCCCTTTTGGGGCCCTGTTCCCCACCTCCTTCATACCCCATCAGTCCTCCAAAGGCCTCTCTGCCCAAGACGCTGGGCACATGGCGCTACTCTCTATGGCACCTTCCTGAACTAAAACCAAGAGTTTCACTCATTTACCTTCTTCCACGGGGAAACAACTATCCTTTTGCATAGTTGGTTGACATGAAATTAGATCAAATTAGACCATAGTTGGTCTAGTTGTGAAATTAGATCACCTTTTATGAACATCTAAGCAAGGAAGATGCACAATCACATGACCTAAGGTGATTTAGAACCTAGGAGAAAGCCTACCTTCCTAACTCCAAACTTTTAACCCTGTAAAAGTTTACTGCAGAAGTGCTGTTTCCCAGAATCAAAGAAGTCTAAAGAATTAACAAATTCTAAAGCTAGAAGGAGCTGAATTTGTGGAGGATAAAACTAGTGCCCAGACAGTGAGATAGTATGGCAATGAATATCAATAGATCACTTTCTAGATTGACAGTCTGCTGAGTATCTTCGCACACAGTATTTCAGCCTCACCCCAAACCCTGGGTGTTCAGATTCCATTGTTGTCACCATGTACCAGAGATGAAGAATCTGAGACATTGGGTAGAAATTTAACTTGTCTGAATTGATGTAAGTAAAGAGACTCAAGTCTGCCTGGCCCATCACTGACTGTGAGTTAGAGAGATGAGACTCTGGCCTAGGCTAGGGTGGGAGAAAACACAAGAAATGGGAGAAAATGCAGAAAAGAGATCGGGGCTTCCAACATCCGCTATGATCACACAGGCAAGAAGACACCTAGGCTTCCTGCATATGGCTCTGCTCCTTAGTAAACTGGGAGTTAAAAAGTAACAAATTCTACAGGCTTGTCATGAACCATGACTCCCGGAAGTGATAGGATGGGCTTTCACAGAAAAAACTAAGCTTTTCTGGGCTCTCCTGGGCAGCCCTGCTGCTCTTTCCATAGATGCCGACAGCAACCTCAGGCCACAGGGAACTCAAATGATAGCTTTGACACCAGGTATGAGCCGAAATAAAAAATAATAATAATAAAATAAAATAAATAAAAAATCAATAAATAAAAGTGCCTTATTTCTATCCCATAGCAAATATAAGACTTGAGGTGGGGGAAGGGAAAATAATCAGAAAAAGTATTCCGGAGGTAAGCTCAGGGAAAAGTCAAATATCCAAGAATGATATGCACAGCAGACTAAGAGTTTAGACCAGGACAGCCCAGGAACCCGTAAAATAGGTCACCAAAGACCGATAGACATGCCAAATAGCCCAGCCAACTGAGAAGGAACCTGGGCCCACTGGGCCCCCATCGCAAGATGGGTCTGGGGCCAACAACTGTCAAATAATGCCGAGTAGAACATACACTCCTGGTGCGGAGCTAGATTTAAAGAATTGGTGGTGTGAAAGACAACGAGACAGTATATAAATTCTACTGTTGGTTATAAAACCGAAAAATAAAAAGATAACTGTACTTTTCTACCCCTAAGAAGCTTAGCTATGGGCCGGGCACGGTGGCTCACACCTGTAATCCTAGCACTCTGGGAGACAGAGGTGGGTGAATCAAGGTCAGGAGTTCGAAACCAGCCTGAGCAAGAGCGAGACCCCGTCTCTACTAAAAAATAGAAAGAAATTAATTGGCCAACTAAAAATATATAGAAAAAATTAGCCGGGCATGGTGGTACATGCCTGTAGTCCCAGCTACTATGGAGGCTGAGGCAGAAGGACTGCTCAAGCCTAGGAGTTTGAGGTTGTTGTGAACTAGGCTGATGCCAGGGCACTCTGGTCCAGGGAACAGAGTGACACTCTGTCAAAAAAAAAAAAAAAAAAAAAACAGAAGCTTAACTATGTGTTGGGACCAGCAATAACCAAAATGATTAACAATCCTAATAACAATACCTGGCGTACAAAGTGTTTCCATAAACACAACTTTCCATGCTCCTCCTGGCAAGTATAGTAGTAAGTAGGAAGGGACGGTTATCTCCACTTTACCTGTGGGGAAAGTAAAGCTCAGAGAAGCCGTGTGTCTTGTTCAAAGACAGAGCTGTCAAGGGGCAAGGCAGAACCAGAACCCAGGTTCTGCTAAGTGGCTCTCAACCTGGCTCACGGAAGCCTCAGCGCCTTTGGAGCTTCTGAAACTCCCAGTGGCCAGGCTGAGTCCCGGACCAATTAAATCCG